AATAGAGTCCTTGTGGAATTTAGGCTCTTGTTTAAGTTAAGAATGTTAATTAACGATAAAAAAACGTAAAAGACATAGAAGAAAGTTAAATACCATATATAATTTAATCAACCTCATGAAGATAGGAACTCCAAATGGATACTATTTTCTTTAATGATATTTCTGTGTCATTTTTAATTTCCTGAAGTTATCATATAAGATTAATGATTGTAACAAAATTAAAATTTATGAGCACTTTTAATTATCGAAAAAGCCAATTATCTTGATTTTACACTTTATCGTGTTACTGCCATGAAAAAATTCGAAATATTAAAAGAAACCTTATCTATTTATATAAAAAAAAATCGAAAACTTTATTAACAATGGGCTTAGAAAAACGTTTTTATAATCTGTGTTAATAATTTATTGCAGTATCGTTAATTTTGTAAGATTATTTTTCTTATAAGAATGCTACATGATCGAATTACAATTTTATAAAGTATCTTATTTTCACGTGGATAATTTCAAAGTAAACTATTAGAGGCTGGAATGGTATTTGCAAATTATTTTTTAACAATATTCAAGTTAGAATTATATATTACTTAATTTCTAACAAATCAGAGTTGACCTGAAACATACAACCTTTCTGGCTAACTGCCTGGTGTATCGCTTTTCTAAAGACTACGATGCTTACGGTTACAAAGTAGATTACAGCGCTGAATGTGACGTTCTAAATATGTGCACAACTCAAAGATGTATACATAGAATACAGTTCGTTTGTTTCACGCATGCGTGTTAGGCAGATGTCTTTGTAGTCCGCATGCTTGGTAGTTATAGCCTGTATTTAGTGCTGAGAAAGAAGTGTTACGACGCGGACGTTTCGAGGTGGGCAAACAGTTACCATGCGGTTACCCTAAAGTTATTATGAGCTATTTAATTGTTCAAATACAAGCAACAGGAAAATTCGGATTGCAGTGTTCAACATGGCTGAAGAGAATATTGTAGAGGAGTGGCTGCGTTCTTTTCACTTGAGTCAGTATGCCGAGAGCTTTCTGGATAACGGTTACGACGATTTAGAAATCTGTAAACAGATCGGCGAGGCTGACCTGGACGGCATAGGTGTGACAGATGGAGCACACCGACAGCAAATTCTTCGTGCTGTGAGAAAGCTTTTGGAGCAAGGAGGTGCAGCTGTTTATTTTACTTTAGAAGAACAAAGAAATTCTGTTTTTGGTCATCCTGTTGAGGGAGATAGCTTCCCCGATGGCCCTTCCCCTTATTTGTCTACGACGTCGCCAAACACTGTTGATAAAACCAGAGTAACGGCCAGCAAGGGCACGACCGAAGTGACTGAGCGCACCGGCAGCTACGGATACGGCTGCTGCGGCGGGATGGCGCTCATGTCTGCACAAGTTCCATCCTGCGGCAGATTTACTGATGAATACGAAGAAGGTAAAGCAGAATTTGTTAAACTACCCAAGATGCAGCTGAAAATGATGATACGAGACAAGTTGATTAGAGACGGAATTCGGCTCAGTGCTCAACCATACTCAAACATGGTAAGTTTACTTTTGATAAAAAATATCACCAAGAATATTTGTGTGACATGCCATAGACTACAGTTGCAGTACCTGGTTCAAGGTAGTTGTTTAGGTTCCCTCCCCCCCTCACCCTTAAGTTAAGTATAGATAAATTTGTTTTGTAAACTTGTTGAAATTGGTGTATCAGTCATATTGTTTTAAAGCTAACACAGTATGTAGCAACAGTAAGGTATTCTATCTGTGTTTACATGTTTTCAACCATGACCGAGAGGCACGTATAATGATGATGAATTTCGTTAGAATAAAACGAGAACATAGTTCCAGTTTTCCAACGTGAATAAACTCTAGAAATTATATTAAGACTACAAAATTATACACCAATTACACATATATTATATACACTGTAGTGTACAATACAGTAACAGATATAAGAGAAAAATGGAAAAACGGTGAAGGGGTGTAGATAAAAGTAAAAAAAAGAAGAAGTATTTTACATTAAGTTCAACTCCAGAGAGAGAACACGAATATATTAATTAGAAATTAGAGTATTTCTATTGCATGGTGAATTTTTAACCATAAGTTATTAAATTAAATGAGTGAAAAATGTCAGTTATTCATGCGTATATAGGAAGGTTCGCCTACTTAACATTCACAGCACATAATGATAGTAATACGTTGTCTGTCATTATGAATTATGGTTTATGTATTCTGTGTTATTATTAATACTATTACTATTAGTTTACATTTGAGATCTATTTATTTTAGAAGTAAAAAATACAGTTGCAGCTATTACATCAATTTAATTCAGTTTTATTATAGATATCTTAAAAAACATCGCTTTTTGTTATTCTTATAAATGCTAGCTAGGCCTATACTATAGATAATTGTGTAATTTGTGGTGCTGGTGACCTAACACCGATACCTATTCCGATTTTAAGGCCTCCTTGATTTTTCTTCTTCCCTTTTTCTCAAGTATTTGTTTAAATTAAAAACTTTGCTACATCAAGATAGTTGTGGTCTTTTGGTATAGTATAAATATGCTATAATCCAGTTTATTTTGTCGTGTAGTGTATAGAAAAAACCGTTTCATCCTTAACCCTTAATTACCGACAACTTTCTCTAATGGTGGAGTCCACATATTGCATGTTATTGAATAATTATTTTTGTTTATGTTTCACTGCAATAAGTTCGAAGTCTAAAGAACTGACTAAAGAAAATTGAATACATTATCTTTCTGTGTCAAGTACACAGTGGGATTAATTAGAGTGTTTAAGCTATTTTGCTTATTAAGTTATTTATATTTTTCGTGTGACTTGTAAGTTGTATGTCATTAGGGACCCTGTGACTAAAAGTCATGGACTCCTATTCCTAAGCAACTTGGTACATTAATAAATTGTGTTCAAATTTGTTTTGGGTCTGGTTCCCATTGGTGATTCTAAGGTTAAAAAAGTAATTTCGAATTGTCGTTATATATATATATACATGCATAATATTTACACCAGTACATTAAGTTTAATTATATTGTGAACAGTATTAAGGTTTAAAAAATATTTTTTTATCCGGCAACAGTTTTAATGTTGATACAAATTTTGTTCATCGTTATGACGAAGTTAATTTCTTCATTACCCGCGGGGGGTGCATTTAATTACTAGGCATTCAGTTGAGACATAACGTAATTACCCAAGTACCTTACGTGGCCCAGTATGAATGGAGTGAACCCTTCACGCTGACATTATATTAAAAGTGCGGGAAATGAATAGGCCTACTAATACATAGTTTCATAAATGTTGACGGATAAGGAAAACTAAAAACTTAATTTTGAATTCGAAAATTATTTGTGAATGTTTTATCACAATAGGTAGAAAATTGTGAAAGAAAGACTGGCAATTTTAGTGACCAAAAGTCATTATCAGAGTTAGTTAGTAGTAAGTCATTGCAATCCGTAGAAAAAAAAATGGAATATTTGACGCAAATTTCAGGTCAGTGTAGTCAACATAAACAAAATGGCTGATGTTTACATTTTGTTCGGAAAAAAGTGTCGTGAATTCTTAAAGTAACCCAGCTTTTCCTCTTATGTTTATAATACTCTATTGTTTTAATTCGTTATGCTGACATAGATTTCTTGAATTTAAACCCCGTATTTTATCTCCTCCCCAACTTTTATTGGCTGGATATTTTGATATGTCCTGAAGGACTGTACGAAGGACGGTTTTCTGTTAAATACAAGTTTGATCATTCAAGACTGTGGATTTGGAATGACGAAGAAATTCTATAGTTTCTTTTAGTAGATTCGACTTTTGTCAGGTTTAATATAATAAAAAAAAGTAAAACTATTCAAATAGAATCATAATATACATGCCATTTTAGTATTTTAGAGATAAAGTAATTTTATAATCACACTCTCCGGAAATAAATGTAAACGCCTGCCATTTTTTTCCCGTTGGTTTTATTAACCTGAAATGGCTACGAAAAATCCATTTTTTCAACGTATTTCAAACAGATACTGCTTGATTACTAACTCTTTGATCGCTGATTTTGAAATTCCTCCTTTCAATTTGATTTGTTTGTTTGTTGTTAAGCGCAAAACTATATAATGGGCTGGTTATCTGTACTGTGCCCACCACAAGTATGGACTTTCCCCCTTTTTTTGGCATTAGTGCGATTGTGTAATGTGAAAATGTGCTAGATTCAGTGTTCTAATGTTAATTTTGTATTTTTTGAATCAAGTTTAGTTGCAATTATCACTGACTAATGTTATTACACACCGAAAGCACGTGATTTTGAATCTTAAAAATGGCGTATATAACAAGTCATAAATTAGAGAATCAACAATAGGTAGCGTATTAAGTTGTCGAGGAGGTCGCTTTGCTGAATAATAGTTGCCATACAGAATAAAACAAAAACGTATTTATATTAGAAGGGTTTGTAGTTAATCAACTGATAATAGCACCATCTAGTAAAAATCGATTGTACTACTGACAATATTATCGTCTGTTTAATCAGCACAAATGTTAGTACTATCGCTACCTTCGCAAAATATCAACTTGGCGTATGAGTAATGAACCAATGTCTTTGTAATGTACACTAACAGGATACTTGGGTCGACAAATACGCCTGTAATTTTTTGGCTTTACAAATGCTGCTCGGAATTTATTAATTGTGCAAATAACGTGCGATTTGAGTTTATAGTAATATCCAGCAGCTATAGACACGATACTAAGAAATAGGATAAAGAAACTCGCTTATGTTTAGATGACATATGTTGCTTCTTTTGGGATGGATTAATAAAGTTATTCTGTTTAATATTTTTGTAACATTTTATGAGCTTTCTTCCGTGGCCTACAGGTAATATTTTTTTTTTTGCAGTTAACGCAACAAAACCGTTCGAAAAACGGAGCTAAGGTTGTTAACATTTTATGTGCTTTAACTTTGGAGAGGATTGACAGAAAACCAACTAAAATTGAATGCTGAAACTATAATTTTTGTTTTTGTTACTCTCCTGTTTCGTTCTAACCAAAATAGTTTATTAAAATACACGTGATTTTAGCAAATCAAGATAGCGAGAGAAAAAGCTAAGATTCGAATTTTAATGGGTATTTTTTTTACTCTTACTGAGTAGAAATACGTGAAGATAGACATTGTTGCTGAATATGCTATTTCTGCTTAGTGTTGTTGTTCGTAAAATAAGGGTATTAGGTTGATAAAGCATGAATTAGTATAGATGAGAGCTTTTCAGCTGGTTAGACGCTTGGATTGGAACTGATATATCTCTGAAACAATGGGACAAAATACGTACATACACTTATAGAATTACCGTTACGTGACTGTTTAACAAATTTACCCGTCTCTCTCTTACACACACACACACACGTTATGATAATAAGTATTCTTATGCTCATAAAATTTGCTGACTTAAAAACGGTTTATTGTCATGCAGCATGCTAATATATTGAGATTGTTTCATGATGTTAGAAAAACACGTACGCTTAAGAAACGAATATTACACAAAGATAAGATACTCTATAACCTCGCCACCCGGTGGCGCAGCGGTATGTCTGCGGACTTACAACGCTAGAACCCGGGTTTCGATACCCGTGGTGGGCAGAGAACAGATAGCCCATTGTGTAGCTTTGTGTTGAACTAGAAACAAACCAAACCCTATAACCCGAGAGGTTATAGGGTATCGTATTTTTGTGTATATTGAGGTTCTTTCACACTCATTAGTTTCACACAAATACTCCCAGTCTGACGAAAATTCATCTTCCCCATTTTTATCCCAGATTAAAGCTGTATTATCTATTTCATAACGCTAAAAACCCGGTTTAGATACCCGTAGTGGACACAGCATTGTGTAGCTTTGCGCTAAACTACAAACAAAACATTATTAAAAATATAATACCTGTACCATATTTTTATTGTTATCAATTTTTGGTGTTTCTACAGATTTTGTATTATTTATCATACAAGTTGGAGTTTCTGAAGAAGAAAAAAAGTAGAATATTCTCGTAATCTTGTGTGTGTGTGCACGTATGTAGTTTATCTTGTTCTCCTGATACAATTAGAAGTCGGAAATAAGATTTGTTTTTATTAATATCGAAAGTCTGGCGAATAAACAGGTTTAATCTTGTGTGTGTGTGTGCATTATGCTATGTTGAAAATAAATCTTTTTTTTTTCTTTTACTTTAGAAACGTAGAATTCTTGTTGTTATTAGCATAAATCTATTAAAACTTGCCAGCATACTATACACAGCAACACCCCGCCTCGTATGTATCTATGTATGTATGTTTCGTAAACGCTAAAACATATAATTATCAAAAATACTTAATATGCTGCTGATATATGAATTAATGTAATAGGGTCTTTATACTAGTTCACTAATTGGTTATTCACTACCCCCACCCCCACCCCCAAATGCGTTTTGCAGTGTAGTAATAACCAGAGCTTGCTAACAAACGCTTTTTAAAAATTTTGTTTTTCACTGGTAGTCTATCTATTTTGAAGTCCTGGCGTGCATAAT